TGCTTTTGGAATTCTCTCCCTCACTGACCAGTGACACTGGGTCATTGACTACATTAAAGGTTAAGTTAAACAGATTTTTGATTGTCAAGGGATTCATGGGTTATGAGGGAAAGGCAGAAAAATGAAGTTAGGGCTGCAGTCAGATCAGTCGTGATATTATTGACCAGTAGAGCAGACTGGATGGCCCTGTGTCTTTCTTACGATCTTGTCAATTCACAAATACTTGAATATGTCATTTGTTTCTGTCTCCTAGTTGTTATCATTTAGTTTATTAAAAGCATATATTGTACCTGATGATGTACGCTCCTGAGAGTATCTCTTTATCTGGTCATATGGGCAGATCAGTGTCAGATGGAACTTAGCCCTGATAAGTATGAGGAAGAAATAACAGGACAATGGAGTACTTGATGAATGACCGGACACGAGGAAGCTCAGATGAACAGAAGGGATCTTGGGTGCTTGTCCACAGATCCCTGAAGGTGGCAGGACAAGTTAATAGGGTAGTTAAGAAAGCATCTGGGATACTTGCCGTTATCTGTCGTGGCATAGAGTATAAGAGCTGGAAGGTGATGTTGGAGCTGTACAGAATCTGGTTGGGCCACAGCTGGAGTACAGACTGCGGTTCTGGTCACCACACTATAAGAAGGATGTGATTGCACTGAAAGGGGTGCAGAGGAGATTCACCAGGATGTTGCCTAGAATGGATCCTAGCCACGAAGAAAAGCTGGATAAGCTCAGGTTGCTTTCTTTGGAGCAGGAAAGGCTGAGAATTGGGGTACATAAATTAATGAGGGGGAAGGACAAGATTGAATAGAAAGCAGCTGTCCCTCTTAGTTAAAGGGTCAACAACAAGGGGCAATAATTTTAAGGGGAAGGGCCAGAGATTTAGAGGAAAAATTAGGTAAAAGTATTTTCACCCAAAGTCTGGGAGGGTAACTGAGGCAGGAAACCTCAACTTCTAAAAAGTACTTGGACGAATACTCGAAATAGCATTCAAGTTGATGGGCCGAGTGCTGGAAAGGGGGACTATTGTTGATTTAGAGTTGTTTTTTCTTGATGTACACTCAATGGGCTGAAGGGCCTGTTCTCTACTGTATGATTCTGTGATTTATATTAATGCATGTTCTTTCTAATTTTTGTAATCTTTCATAGTTGGTGCTGACAACGAAATTCCCTTTTAAGTTGAGTGGAAAAGTGCTTCAGGTTCTGACCGTCATATTCCTGTACCATGATTTTTCTGTAAAGAACTTTGTTAAAGGTTTTCAGGTAAGTTGAAGTTGACAAGCTGAACGAGTTTAAAACAGATAGATGGCAAAAATGTTGAAATTTGTTATTAATCAATACCTTGTATATCTTCCCTTCCACCTCTTATGGCCCCTTGTTTTTCCAGCTATCTCTGTTAGAGCACTTCTATTCTCAGCCCCTTAGTTTCCTGTGCTGTACACTGGATGAAGCCAATGGCAGGATTCAGAATCTTGCCCACGGTGAATGTGAACTTATCCGTCAAGTGCCATCTTTTATGAGGTAAGTAAAAGTTACTTGTTTCTCATCAAAGGCTGCAATTTATTTTTCTCTCACTCTTTCTCTCTCCAGTGTTTCTCTCCCAACTTGTTTTCTATTTTGAGTTGGCTCACTTCATTCAAGTAGTTATTTATAATGTGTAAGCTTTGGCATTGTGTATTAGTAACTGTTAGAGATGATCAAACAAGTAAATGAATGAAGGATTTATTTATTGTCACATATCTTGACGATACAGTGAAAAATGTTTTATTGCCACAATCCAGCACTTTTTTGAGGTACAATAGCGATAAAAAGAAATTACTTAAATAAGAGTTCATCTTCTGTTCAAATTGGGGTCTCAGGCATGGCTTCAGGGCTTCTGTTGCACTCTTTGAGGAGTCCCGCTCTGGGAACAGAAGCAATGGTGCCGATGCCCCAGTAGACCTATGCTGCCGCCGCTGCCTCACTGACACCACCAAGAGTCCAGACTCCGGGCCTACCGCCACCAGGACTCCCTGTTCTGGGCACTGTCAATGCCAAGATTCAGGCTGTGGGCACAGCCACCAGGAATCCAGGCTCCGGGTACCATTACCACCACCAAGAGTCCCAGTCCACGCTGCCATGCTGCAGCCACTGCCCCGCCAACACTGCTCCAGCTTCAAAGCTGAAGAAGAAAGGGAGATGAAAAGAGAAAAGATGAAAATTACATAGAGAAAATTATGCTGCTGTCTGGAGTGGACGGGTTCCTCCCTACTGTGCTGGCGCTGTTGTTTAAGAAATTTAATCCAGTCTTTCTGTTCTTGCCTTGCACTATCATCCTTTCTGTCAATTAATTACTTTTGTAATAATATTTCCGTTTTGTTTATTTCTCCCTACCTTTTTCCTTGACATGTTCACCTCTAATTTCTTTCAATTCGTTGAAATGTCGTCAGCCTGAAACCTTACCTCCGGTTTCAGATTCCAAATGTTAGGTGCCCTGCTGAGTATTTCAGGCATTTTTGTTTTTATTCAGCCTCTAGTATGTCAACATTTCACTGAAATCTTGCTTTTCACTATGTTGCATTATGTGATAAGTTTTCTTCTTATTCCTTAACTTTAACAATATAAATTAAGCTTCATTTTAAAACATTCCCCATGTCTTATTTGGGTCTAATGCCGTATTGATGCATCTCATTAATGCTGCCATTCTGTCCCACTGGAATATTTTGTAATTATGCATAAGTGTCTTTTGGTAAAGTGTCTTTTATCCTCCTCTTGTCTCTGTTTGTTTCTGTCTTGTGTGCCTTCCTTTGCCACTTGATACAGCTTCTATCTGATTTAATCAACGTGATTCTTTGAAAGGCGAGAACCTTTCTGCATTTCCTCTCTCTGATTTGGAAGGCAACAGGAAGGTGACACTGTCTTAGTTATGTATGTATTTTAGAAGCGGTCTACTTTCGCCACTGAGTGTACATCAGTTAAGTGCCAGGAGGCTGCAGTAACCTGATTTAAAGTGAGCTATCAAGCTCTCATTGTGAATATAAGTGGAGGGTAAGTGTTGGAATATTTTGCAGGCAATTAGCTAAAGAGGAACATTGAGAATTGGAATAGAGCTGGAGGTTACCAGCTGACTAAAGAAAATCTCAGTATCAATCTGTTTGCATTCTGGTGATATGATATAAATCAGCAGCCAAAGTTGAGAGGTGTGTTATATGGGCATACTTTATTTACATTGCCTCTATGTTATAGTCTAAAAATCTAGCAATGTATTTTATGACGTCAGTGCTATAATCCAATGCCTTGCTTCATTGCCCCCTGCAAATCCAATGTGTTAGCACTGGACACTGTTCTGAAGAAGAGTCGTACTGGACACAAAACATTAACTCTGTTTTGGTCTCCACAGATGCTGCCAGGGCTGCTAAGTTTCTCCAGCATTCTCTATATTTGTGTAAGCCCTATTATCATTATATCTCACTATATTCAGTGGGGATAATTAATCTGTGTATGCATTTTGATTTTAGATATGTTGATTGTCAGGATTCTGAGAAGCAGATTGAACTTTTGACTAATGATCAATATTTAAAGGTAAACTATTTGATTATTCAACAATCCAAATAAGTTATGTGGCCAAAATGCCTAGCCTGCTCATCCTTACTAATCAACACTGGCTACGTATCATCCATTGCTCTAAATTTAAACTGTTTGTCTCTTTTAAGTCTCTTCATATCCTCACCTTGCCCTATCTCTGCATCTTTCTCCAGTCCTGTGTATATTCCCACAACTTTCGATCCTCTTGACTCCAGTGTTTGTTATACCAGTGCTCCTTTTATTGGCAGATCTTTCAGTTGCTCAAAGCCCCCTCTCTGAAATTCGTTCCCAATGCCCCCATGTTCTTCTTCTCTCTGCACTCCTCACAGCTTCATCATAAACCCATTTTAACAGCCAGGCTTTCGTTCATGCCTTCTACCTCTCTCACAACATGTTACAATCTCACTCAGTGACTCTTTATCTATTAACTTTAACCGTTCTCCACTTCTCCTCTCCACCATCTAAAAATGCCATCAAATGTTTCTACGATAAAAGTTGCTACATAAATGCAAGTTTCTGTTGAAGCTACTTTTACATCCTGAAGTTGAGCCAATTGTAAGGTTGGGTAACGTTTTCATGCTAGATACTGTTGTTTCTGTAAAATGGGAAAATCTATTTGATGGGAATACAAGAGTAAATAAATAATTCATGCAGAAATTGGTTAGGCCAAAGTTAGAGCCCTGCATGGTTTTGAGTGCCACAACATAGTAAAGATGTTAAAGACTTCGGCAACATTCATCTTGGATTCACTAGGATGATGCCAAGAGTGAGAACCCATATTAATGAAGAGAAACCAGGACAATTCCCATTCAGAAGAGAACATAAAGGAGTTTCACTGAGCAGTTAGTAAAATTATAAAGGAATTGAGTAGAATGAATATGGATTAAAAATTTGATTTTGGGCTGGATTTAGCAGAGCTCATGCACCCCCTCACCCCACTACCGAGTCCAGATGTTTGCCTAGAGGAGGACAGGAAATTGCACCTTCTCAAGAATGGTTCAGCGAGCACTGCTGGGATCGCAATAGCCCCAATATTGAGGAACCGTAGCAACATAAAAGTGGGTTGAGTGGCTACTGCCTGACCCAAGCTAGAAGGCCCTGGCAAAAAGGGACTAGAAGAGACAGGGCAGGGGGGTAAGAGAAACCAGGTTAGGGGAATTTGTTTTATGGAAGATGGAAAGTTTGACACAGATGGTAGCTGAGGCACAGGTCGATTATTTTATGGAAATTTTGATTAAATGGAGAGAGATACCTTGTAAGACATAAGATATCTTTTTGCAAGAAAGCAAGGTTTTGGATTCCTCTGGAAGAAATGGGCAATGATATGATGGATTGAAAGGTCTTATTCAATGCTGTTCAGATGCTAAGTTTGTGTCCATAACATGCTTATGGACACAATTTAGAATGTTATCTGTTGTGTAAAATTTATGACTGACACATGTTGTAATGTCATGAACTATAAAACATTCTACCCGATCTGTAGAAGTCATACCAACCAATCTGCTTCAAAACTGGCAAGAACCATGAACTTTGGTCATGGCAATGTCAGATCCAATGATGAAATACTTTAGGGGTGCTTTAGGGCTATAACAAAGATGTGCCTATCTGAGGATTTTCAGTTCATTGTTGGGTGTTAATCGAAGATAGAGCAGTAAAAGCTGCTTCCATTTTATTTGCCCCTTAAATGATGCAGGATGATGTACAGAAACTGCTGAAAGATCTTCATATTTACCACGAGAATTACTTCCCGGTTCTGAAATGCCTTCATGTTTTTACGTCGTCTCTTCCAAAATACCCTTTAGGTAAACAGGTGAGTGTTCTCTTAAATGACACCTGAAAAATATAACTGGAATTTTTTTTTATTGTTTATGCTTTTAAAGATTAATGAAACACCCCTTCTAATACTTGTCGGGGTTTGTGGAAGGCTGGTTGTGTGAGGTGTCCTCTGTCATTCACATTGAGAAGATTCAACTGTTATTTGCAAGCCCTTCCCTTGTTATGCTGCTACTCTGATGCAGATGAGTTACTGTCTAAAACTACCAATGATGCCTCAATGATACCTGGGTTCAATTCCAGCCTTGGGTGACTGTGCAGATTACCTACAGACATTCTCCCCATGTCTGCGTGGGTTTCCTCTGGGTGCTTCAGTTTCCTCTCTCAGTCCAGAGATGTGCAGGTTAAGTAGACTGGTCGTACTAAATTGCCCATAGTGTCCAGGGATGTGTGGGCCAGCTGGGTTAGTCATGGGAAATGCAGCATTGCAGGATAGGATAGAGGGGCTGGGTCTGGGTAGGATGCTCTTCAGACAGTCGGTGTAAACTTGATGGATTGAATGGCCTGCTTCCACACTGTAGTAATTGTGTGACTTTAAGCATAAGGTAACAGAGAACCTTTAGGGTCTATAATTGACTGTCTAAGAATAGAATTACTTTGTTTGCATCAGCAAAACTGTTTTTTGCAATTATTTGTAGAAGGAGGGACTGTTTGATTGTACTCCCTGGCTGAAAATTAATTCTAGCATCAGATCTGAGGGCTGTAGTGCATTGCATTCAGCAGTCAAGTCAGTGAAAATCACTAGTTTAAATATTTAACTTTGTGAAACTCAGCTCTACAGCTCTTCCTCAGTTTTTATTGATTCTTTAATCCTCCAAGGGTCACTGATTATTTATTCAACATGTTAATTGGTTGTTTAGTAGTCCAGAACTTGAGTATTGCTGCACAAAGAGCTTACCAACCAACCATTTAGCACACTGATCTCTTTGGATTGCTACAATTGTGATGTTGAATACGACATTTATTCTAGGCATAAAGGAAAACCTGTAAGTTCTGTCAATCTCATAGGCGTACATTACTGATGGAGTAAATGTTGAATGCAACAACCTACTGTATATTACTCTCTTAAATCTTAATTTTTAGGCGGAGGTGGTGGCCCTGTATCACCCAACTGAACAGTCAGGAGCGATCCTACCTCTGCCTCTTTGAGTAGCCCTGAGCTGTTTTTATGGTTGTCAGGCCTTTTAATTGGGTCAAAGCAAGTGTTCACTCCCCATTTCAGAGGCAGGCCCACTGCTGGGAGCTGCCGGTCATTCTGAGGGCCAGGACCTTCTGAGCAGGGAGGGGTGTGACCGCAGACACCTTTCAACAAAGAACATCACTGGAGTCGGACAACATGAACGGAGGGTTTCAAAGAGGCCATGACAGGACCTACGAGGGTGGGCAGAAGACTGGGTTCACGAGGGCAGGGCGACGGGATGAGAGTGCCTTCGGGGTACTTTGGGGTTGGATGGGGCCTCCTTTGGGGTCAGGGTGCCACCAGGAGGAGGCACCTCTCTCTCCCAGGTCACAAAATATGGAACCAAAAAAAAATTGGAGGTGGGTATTGGCACCACTGCAATGGAGCCCGTAGCCCATGTCTACCAGCTTGATCCCACCTATGTATATCGGAGAGTTTTCATGTGTATGTTACTTTTTAAAACATGAAGAACCTTGTGCTTAATAAAACAGAGTTATGGTTGGGAAGACAGTCATCTTGTTATAAAAACTGAAAGAACTGCAGATGCTGTAAACCAGAAACAAAAACACAAGTTTATGGAAAAGCTCAGCAGGTCTGGCAGTATCTGTGAAGGGAAATCAGAGTTAATGTTTCGGGTCCAGTGACTCTTATTCAGAACTGTTCCTCATCTTGTGATCGTGGATTGTGTAGTAGGTAAACACTGCAGTTAGCAGCAGAGTCCAAGGGTGCTTTCATTTGGTTAAGGCCCTTCAGCTGGTGACAGGTTTTTATGAATATTGAGGGGATGTAAAGATACTTAATAAGCTGTAATTTTTCTTTGACATCATGCATATATTCAGGGCAATTAATTACATGGGTGTTTCAGTCACCTCAGGGGAGTGAGAGTTGGTCCTTATGAAATGTAAGCCAAGGTGTTCATCACTGCAGCACCATTTTACAGGTCTATACTGGGCATCTGATGGTCAGGTGAGCTAGCACTGTATGCACACACATCCTGTGCCTGAGGTATGGTACCCACCTTTTAGGGTGTATAGTAGGCATCCAGTGTCTGGGACTGAAGCAGGCTATTCAATTTCACCCAAAAATATTGTGTTTCATCTTTACTTATAATCACTGCAGAATGTTGATTAAAGTCGTGAGAAGCCAACAATTTGCTGTTCTGGGCAGAAAGTCTTGCGTAAATCATTATTATTTAATGGTTCTGTATTTTTTCTTTCGATGTACTTTGAACTTACTCTTTCTTCAGTTGCCCAGTGAATGTTTCTATGCAATTTATACGTGACCTGTAATTCTCCACAGATCAGGGAACTCTATATCACATGTTTGGAGAAGAACATATGGGAAACTGAGGAATACAGTTCTGCCTTCCAACTACTTGGGTAATTATGACTGGCAGTGATTACATTCTCTAATTTCACTAACTCCTTTTGAGTCTCACAGTATTTTGTAGCCACTGCACTTACTGCTTTTATGTGTCTTCTGCCATATATCTCGAGAGATCCGCTGTCAATGATATGTCCTCATCTTCTTGGTTCATCTGGTCATATTACAAAAAACACACAGTACAGAAACCGGCCACGTGGCCAAACTGGTTCATGCCGGCTGTACCCCTCCTTGTCAAGCCCTGTCAGCATAACCCCCTGCACTTCATGTACTTTGTGTGTTATAGGTCTGTAAATGCATCTACGCTAAATTAATTCAGTCCTTTCATGCAGCTAACTCCAAATTAACTCTTTCATTAATGTCTGACGGCAGGATTCACTACTGTTTTAATCATTTTAAAGTATTCACAACAAAGTTTTTTGTAATTCATTCATGTGGGTGATGCTGGCTCTAATGTCTCGGAGCCATTTAAGAGTCAGCCACATTGCTTTGGATCTGGAGTCACATGTAGACCAGATCAGATAAGGACGGCAGATTTCCCTCTTCGAAGGACATTAGTGAACCAGATGGGTATTTACGATGATAGATTGTGGTTGCATGATTGCCAATAGGCAAGCTTTTAATTTCAGATTTTTATTGAATTCAGATTTCACCATCTACCACAGTGGAATTTGAAACAATGTTCCCAGAACATTAGCCTGGGGCTCAGGATTCCTGGTCCAATGATGTTATCACTGCTGCTTCTTAAGGAATGTCGTTGAGACTTTACATTACATTGCCTCGGGAACATGGCCTGTTTGCCAGATGGGTTTGAGACTGTAAAATCTATCGTTTTTGTTTACATCGACAGTTAAGTGACTTGAAATAGGAAGACGAAGTAGGAGCTGTTTCCTGCTGTGTCACTGGTTTACATTTCTTAAAATTTAAGAGGTCGAATTTCTTGTTATTTTGGTTAGATGTAGGGTGAGTGAGCCACTCCAGTGCTGCTCCAACTTTGAGCTAATCCACTAGGAGGCATGTAAAAACTGCCTGGAATGATTATTCTCTCCTTATGTTCAGTATTTTCTCTTGTCTTGTCTGGTCAGCTGCTGCATGCATTTTGCCTTTTCGTAATAATTATATGACAATATGTGGAGTGCACAGCTAGCCATATGTTCTAAAGAGTGGAAGAAACAGCATTCTGTTATTGTCATGTTACCCACAATCTCATTGAATGGAGGAATAAGCTCAAGGAGCTGAAAGGTCTGTTACTATTCTTACCTTGGGTGGAAAAGAAATGTTCCTTTCAGTACATTGGGTGAATTTATGGTGTGAATTTAAGTATGTTTTTGTTTCTTTCTGGCGCAGAATGATGGCAAATGATGAGCTGGCGTGCCTGCTTCAGAAATGTATAGACATGCTAAAGTCTTCCATGCAACAAAAACCTCTCACTGACATAATGCAAAAGCTTGAAGAATTCCTCTCAAAGTTTCAAAAACTGGATGGTAAGTGCTAAGCAATGTATTCCACTGATAGAATATTGTTGCATAACACGTTAATATCTGATTTGCAGTGCTGAGATTTCTAGTATCAGTTTGGATTGTGTCCGCTGACAAGACTTGCATATTAAATGATTCATTTAATTCCACTTCCTAGAACCATACAAAGAGACCCTTTGGTGCATTGTGCTTGTAGTGGCTGTTTGAAAGAGTTGTCTAATTAGTTCCACTCACTGCTCTTTTTCAACAGTTCTGCAAATTTTTCCTTTTTCAGGATATGTATACTTCTCTTTTGAATGTAATATCGAATCTACTTCCAACATCCTTTCAAGTAATGCATTCCAGATTGTCATAACTTTTGAGTTGTTTTTTAAAAGCCTTTTCATTGTCACCAGAACGTTTTTGGTGATCATCTCACATTTGTGATCTTGGGTTATCAAATGGAAACCATTTCTCCCCATCTCCCTGATAAAATCTCTCCTTAACCTTTCTGTTCTGAGGAAAACAGTCCCATCTTTAGTTACTTCATGCAACTGAAGTTCCTCAACTCAGGTAAGATTTGAGAAAATCTCCTGCACATTCTCTAAAGTTTCACAGGGTACCCATAATTTGACACAGTTCTCTCGCAGAGGCCTAACCTGTGATTTATAAAAACTGAAAGAACTGTGGATGCTGTAAATCAGGAACAAAAGCAAAGTTGCTGGAAAAGCTCAGTAGGTCTGGCAGCATCTGTGAAGAAAAGATCAGAGTTAATGTTTCGGGTCCAGTGACC